GTTAGTCTGGAAGAACACATAGGCTACTCACATTTGTTTTTTTTTTAATTCCGCGCGGACGGAGTCGCGGGCGAAAGCTAGTTAATCTATAAAAAAATGTTTCATCAAATTGAAAACTTTTTATCTTTATATTATCAATGCATGCTGCCTTAATATGTATTTTAAGAAATTACATACTGTTTGTACAGAAAATGTTGAGAATTGGTATTTCTGCTCCAGTTAACGTTATGTTCGCGACAAGCAATCCAGTTTTCATTCTATTTTAATACGAAATCCACATCAGTCGCAGATAGACCTTGGCACGGTTTTAATTTAGAAATCTCTGCTTTTTACACAACTTTATTGTGGTAAACTGAACATCTTACTAATTCTATTATAATCTTACTATCTTACTAATATTATAAATGCGAAAGTTTAGATGGATGGATAGATGGATGTTTGTTAGAGTTTGTAGCCTAAACGGCTAAACGGATTTTGATGAAATTTGGCATAGATGTAGAGGATACTCTGGAAGAACACATAGGCTATTCACTTTTGTTTTTTTTAATTCCGCGCGGACGGAGTCGCGAGCGAAAGCTAGTTATATTATAAATGCGAAAGTTTAGATGGATGGATGTTTGTTATAGTTTGTAGTCTAAACGGCAGAACGGATTTCGATTAAATTTGGTATAGATGTAGAGGTTAGACTGGAAGAACACATAGGCTAATCACTTTCGTTTTTTTTTTATTCCACGTGGACGGAGTCGCGGGCCAAAGCTAGTTATCAATATTAGAACAATTGTAAATATTCTCAGTTCAACTGACACATGTTACTTATAAATGAAGGTAAAAAAAAAACTGAATTTTTTATTGTGGTAATCGATACTAGTGACAATGGATGTCGCATGCCGCTGCACTATAATCTCTTTTTTTAATCTCCACACGGAGTCGCGGGCGAAAGTTAGTCTATACTAATATTATAAAGAGGAATGATTTGTACTTTTGTATCTGTTGGAATAACTCAAAAACTACTGGCCGATTTAAAAAAAAATCTTTCAACAATAAATAGCTACAATATCACTGAGTAACATAGGATAAGTTTTTTTTATAATTTTAAGTTCCGCGCGTACGAAGTCGCGAGCAAAAGCTAATATGGTATAAATGGTTGAAACAATTTCAATAACAAATCTGCCAATACATCGATCAGGTAAAATCGACCGCAGGATGACGTCATTACAAATAATAGCATAATCTCTCACAATTAAATTTTGCGCTCTAATCCCCCCCCCCCGACCCCCACCACTGACGCCGATTAATGGTACACAAAATTAAATTCACCATTTATACATCTGCGACATTATTAGCTAGTACAAAAGAAATACAACCTTACCAACATAGAATAGAACTTAGTTTCCTTTCAAACGAAAAAACCTCCAGTGGGATATCAAATGACAGTCACATATACTAACGAGGTTCCATGATAGCAACGATTTTACTTCAATTAAGTCAGGATATACGATTTTAAACTTTATTTCCTAAGAGTTAAGATAGTTATGAATGCAATCGTTTGTTTGTAAGCTCGTTTTCAGTAAAGCAGGATTGTTAGAGCATTTGAAAAGGAATTGTTTAGTACTTTGGCGGAATAATTACAGTTTTACAGCGATGCGGGGCTGTAAGTGATGTTGTTTATCCAACCCCCATCCTCCACCCTTGTTTTAAAGGTTTTATAATAGCTGTGAACTACGTTTTTTTGTTATAAATAGACATTTTGTATGTCACCAGTCTTGTTAAAGGAGTTGGGGGAAAAGGTTGCTTACATCTGAATATCATACTGTACATTTTATAATTTCCTTTCTTTTAAAGAAAAAACAAAAGTAGTTTTGTGCAGATAACATACAATACCATTATTTAAAACTAGCTGTTCCCGTGCGGCTTCATCCGCATAAAATTTTATTTTATTGTTTACATTTGTCAAATTATCAATGCAAATGTCAAAATGACATGACATGATAACAACCTTGCTTTCTTAATGTTGGCAGCAACTTATGATCTCTTTCACACATTAGGGTTTTTATCCAAAATATTTACCCCCTAAGTTTAATGACGTGAAAATATATAGCCTAAAGCGTGACATAAGTGTGGGGCTTTTTATTAAAAGAAGAATTATTCAAAAATATGCTGTAATTGCTGACATCTAGGCAACAAAGAAGTGTGTGTCTACGCTTTATTATAATAGTATAGATAAATAAACGAAAACATTAATTTCGTGAAACTTTTTAAATTTCACGTCACAAAAGTTTACTAACAAATGTGAAAGCATTTATTTTGTCAACTTTAATTTTTTATTGTCATTTACATATCCAACTGTCAAACTTTTTATAACAAACATTTGTAACATTGTACGGAATTTTTAAAACAGGTAACTAGTAATAAATTGACTTAACATGCAAATGGCAACCTAGTATTACTAAATCCATTCCATTTTAATTATTTTCATTTTTATTCTAGCTCTTGCCCACGACTCCGTCCGCGTGAAATTTAGAAATAATGATAAAGAAATGAAAAAATATAGCCTACGTTAGTCACAGATAAATTACCTGTCTAACGGTGAAAGAATTTTTAAAATCGGCCCAATAGTTTTTGAGCCTATTTATTAGAAACAAACAAAGTTTTCCTCTTAACATTTAGTATAGAAGACAATTGGATAGTTGTCACTTCTGCATGTATTCAAACATCGGCTATACAAAATAAAATTATCCACAACCACACCGTGTCCATAGCGAAAAAATAATTACCCCATACATGTGGAAACCTCGTAAATTTTCTACCCCTTCGTAACAAGTACCATTGGACATCTTCAATAAATCATTTTTATTAACATTCACCCTACCCTTAGGGTGTGACTGGCCAACCATACTTTAGGTGTTGTTAAATTTTATAAATAATCGAGTATCGATATCATCTCAAATATCGATATAAACTGCATTATCGCGTGACTAAGGCGTTCAAAATACCTTTAAGTTACTTTAATAAATATGAATCTCGGCTTACTTTACACTAAGGTTTCACTAATGATCTTTTTTAGTACGTTTTTAGCATGCTAGGTGTCGCTAATTTGTTTGATAAAAAACCTATTAGCCTAAGCCATTATAAAGTAATTTGTAATTAAAAATTAAGTTTTTTCTAATATTATACTGTTGTAATCTTCAAATGTATTTTATTTATCTTTGTTGAATTGTATTTGTTCAATTAACTATATAAAAAACATAGTTTTTTTTTATAAAAGTCAAATTAATAATTTGTAATTTTTGTTAATTAAACATTTAATTTTAAATAAAACTATCAATTATTAATCGAAATTGTATTTTATCTATACTATTATAATAAAGCGTAAACACACACTTCTTTGTTGCTCAAGATGTCAGCAATTACAGCATATTTCTTATAATTCTTTTTTTTAATAAAAAGCCTTACACTTACGTCACGCTTTAGGCTATATATTTTAACGCCATTAAACTTAGAGGGTAAATATTTTGGATAAAAACCTTAATGCGGCAAAGAGACCATAACTTGTTGCCAACATCAAGGAAGCAAGACTGTCAAGGTTTGTCATGTCATGTCGTTTTGACATTTTCAATTGATAATTTGACAAATGTAAACAATAAAATAAAATATTCAAAATTTCATGCGGATGAAGCCGGGAACAGCTAGTCTTTTTATAACTGGCCAGATTTACATCGACAATTGCAGTATTAAAAAAAAAGAAAAAGTGTCAGTCGACAGTAGTATACGGTAGGTTTGGTAGCGCGTGTTAAACCAATGTTTAAGGCCAGAATAATTTATTGCGAGGCCGGTATTATCGTTAATCTGTAGCAACGTGAAATCGCTCTCGAATTTTTGATTAATGGCCACGTTTCCGTTGGTATACTGCGTTGTGTGCCGCAAACGTTACACTATGTTACATCGACGCCTATATTCACAAATTCCTTGAGGAAATTTTATTTCATTTAGTGGCCGTTTACATTATGTTCTACGGAAAAAAGTGTGCTTTACGACTTACGCGTTAATAGTTAAAATGTAGAAAGTTCTATATTCTTTAGGGTAAACTAAAAGCCGTGAATATTTTACTTATGAAGAAATGTGTTAACACTCCTTGCCGCAAACCTCAGTAATCAAACTAATCTAAACTAGATTTCACTTTAATGTAATCTACTCCTTTTAAGCGAATACAGTTTATTTTGGCTGTAATAAATCATTATTTTTATCCTTACCTTAGAAAGGATATGCTCCAGTATATTATGTATCGAAACCCCTCATTTCACGCTATGACGTGGCGAAAAACGAGTTAAACGATCTGTCCGTGCCGGCATTAATTTGGCCAGATTTATTACACAAGTATGCGAACCCCGTTACTCGAAAACTTACCACGATAAATCTTCACTGCTCGTTGCATACTAGAAACGGATTTCGTACTTCTTTAATCTCATAGACAGGAATCGATGTATTCGAAAGTTTGTAATAACATCTGGCGTGAATCGTTCAGAAATTGATTATGAAAGGTTGAGTCGACAGTTTTTCGTTTTGTCTTCTGACGTTGTTTGCTTTTGCGAGGATAAATGGTTTCTGAATGTAACGCTCGCTCAAACAATAGGATCGGTTTGATTGGATTTATTTGCGAGCTTTGATTTTGGACGATTGTTTTGGTTGCGGATGCAGGAAGGGAAGATTTAGTAGCCTTTGTAGATTTGGACCCTCGGAGTAATTTCATATAACAATTAACGGACATCTTAGCGTCAAAATAATGATATCGTCTTAAGTAAAAGAAAATGTTTATCTAGAGCTAACATCAAACTCTAAAAAAAATAAATTACTACATTTTTTTCCTATGCAACAATTATTTTCACTTTACAAAGTATCAAACATTTGTATATGTCTCACTAACAAAGAGAATCAATCAATCAAAAAATCAAGAATTATCTCTTACATAGTTCCCTACTAATTAATTTCCCTGTTCATTTCAGAACCAAGATACGAAACGGCGTACGCGTGCGAAGGGAAGACGTTGAAGATCGGCTGCGCGGAAGGCTCGGTGATCCATCTCATCAGAGCCAACTATGGCAGGTTCTCAATCACCATCTGCAACGACCATGGCAACACCGACTGGAGCGTCAACTGCATGTCAACGAGGAGCTTGCGGGTATTACATAGCAGGTAAAAACAACAGCACTAATGTAAGAATTTATCGTAACCAACTTGCCCTTTTCCCTACGGAGGGACGGCACAGTTTCTATCAGCCGTCACATCTAAATCCAGTCCCTTTTAAGCATATTCTCTTTAATACAAGCTATCCATACTTTTTTGTAGCCGTCCACGTTTAATCTTAACTCTTTCTGGTCTATGTCCCCATCCTCTCGTCCATATGTTCATACCACGCTAATCTTTTGCTTCTCAATTTTTCGACCACTGGCGCCAATGTAAGAATGGTAGTTGGTATGTCTGTTGGTATGTATGGTGGTTGGTTTCACTGTTCTCTTTTGTATTACCGTAATTGTTCAGCAAAATAAGGATGAGATGTTTTTATATCTAAATCTATCTAACTATTTTTATCTTATTAAGTTTGTCCATATCTATACTATTATTATAAAGAGGAAAGATGTGTATTTTTGTAAGTATTGAAATAACTCAAAAACTACTGACCCAATTTCAGAAAATCTTTCACTATAAAAAGCTACGTGTTCAGTGAGTAACATATTTTATGTTTTAACTAGCTCCTCCCGTGCGACTACATCCGCATTATGAAAATTTAATTTTATTGTTTACATATGTCAAATTATCAATTGCAAATGTCAAAAAAACATGACGATGAAACCATGGCAACCTTGCTTCCTTGATGTTGGCAGTAACTTATGGTCTCTTTCCCACATTAGGGTTTTTATCCAAAATATTAACCCTCTAAGTTTAATGGCACGAAAATCATAGCCTAAAGCGTGACGTAAGTGTAGGGCTTTTTATTTAAAAAAGAGTTATTCAAAAATATGCTGTAATTGCTGACATCTTAGGCAACAAAGAAGTGCATGTTTACGCTTTATTATAATAGTATAGATTTCATGCAAGTGAAGTCGCGAGCAACAGCTAGTATATAATATCTAGCCAACAATTTACATCAATATAGCAAACCTTCAAGCGTACTGTATTCGCCTCAGTGAATGCACACCCTTAGCGTAATATTTACTTAATGCAAGATGTACAAGTTTGAGACGGATTTAATATTTAATGTGCTGATAGATTTTAAATAAAATCTCTTTTAACTTCATCTTAATAATTAAAACATTTACGCGTTATACCTTTAAATTATCTATATACTAGCTTTCGCCCGAGACACCGTTCGTGTGGAATTAAAAAAACAAACAAAGGAAAGTAGTCTTTCTATGTGTTCCAGACTATGCTCAAAAACATCTTACTAATGTTATAAATGTGAAAGTTTAGATGGATGGATGGATGTTTCTTAGAGTTTGTAGCCTAAATGGCTGAACGGATCTCGATGTAATTTAGCATGGATGTAGAGTTTTTTAGTTTTTTTTTTTTAATTCTACGCAGACGGAGTCGCGGGCGAAAGCTAGTATATTATAAATTGTTAAGAAAACACTTATAATTCACTCAGAGAACGTCTTAACAACACTCGTAGAATTTTTTTTTTATTTCCAAAACAAAGATAGACTATCTTTGTCTTTTTCAAGATATCTGAAGATATTTTTGTAGGCATGTTTCAGTGTAAACCCACGTTAATGCAATGCAGTATACTAAATACGCTTTAGCACAAAACAGTTACGCAAAATAACAAATTAACGGCAACAAATTAAAACCGCATCGCTGAAATACGCGCGAGATTCACTTGATATTGTTTTAGCTAATATTGCAATTTGGCTAAGCGCTAATCTGTAACTATAATAAAATTGGAATGTCTGTTTGTAATCTGTATTAAATCCTATAATTTATATATTAAGAGAAGTAAGTTCATTTATTTATTTATTTATAATATGAAGCCAACGTATCACATGAAATAGGTAATGTTTGATGAAGAAAAATAATTATAACTAAAACACAATATCATGGATACGCTTACAGGCTGACACAACATTGTTATGTTATGTTATATATTATGTTTTATAAAAAACTAGCTGTTGCTTGCGACTTCGTTCGCGTGGTATAAACAATAAGACCTTTCAAATTAAAAACTTAATTCTTTTAACATATGTCTTAACTTTTTCAAAACTATCTGTTGCTTGCGGCTTCGTCCGCGTAAAAGTAAATATACCAAAAAACATAGCCTTTATATGTAACTACTATTTTTGAAATCCTAGTAGTTTTTACGTGAATCGAATACATACAAAAATACAAATCTTTCCTCTTTATAATACTAGTATAGATAGACATCTACCAAAAGACAGATACAAACGAAGTAAAAAGGATTTTTTTGCTTAGGTATTTAGGGTTAGGTAGATTTAATTATGGTGAAGGAAAACATCGTGATGCAACCTGCACATATCGGCGAAGAAATTCAAAGATATGTGTGAAACCAACCAGCACTTGGCCAACGTGGCTGACTATGGCCTAGTCACCCTTACTTGGGGTAGGCTCCGAGCCCCTCTCTATAATCCCTGACGGCACCAGCGGGCGAGGCTGGGTCTCCGAACCTACATTGCACGGTGCCGTCTTCCGAGGAGCGCCTTAGGGTGCAGCGTCCCAACTCGTTGGGACGCACCGAGGGCCCCTTCCCGGGGCGGTCAGTGGGGCGTCGCGGTGGCAAGCGCAAGCGATCCCGTGGCGTCCCACACAATGGCCAGGAGGGAACGAAGGGGTTTAGTGAGGTATGCCCCCCACTATGGGGGGAGAGTGCCACATAACTCTCGTGTCTGCCCAGAGGCATGGAGTATGCAGAAAGCATTCCCCTTCGGAAAAAAAAAAGGCTCCGAGCCCCTCGGTGGGGACGTATATTGAGCTGGTGATGAGATGAGATTTAATTAAGTTTTATTTAATCCCAAAAAAACCGTTTTCATAATTTAATCGAAAGAGACAAACGTTATACGTTTTTAAAATAAATTGAAATGATATAAAAAGCGGTTATTGAACTTCCCTTGCTCGTTAACGTCAGAGGGCATTCTTGTACAAATAACGCGAGAAATTATATCCCTGGGACCCTCCGCGCTCGCCAATAATTGATTTGTCCACTTTACAAGGAAAATATTAAACTGCGAGGTAATATCGTTTATGCACTTTTATTCAGAGTTGTTTTCAAAATGTTTTTACTTTATATCGAACAGATGAGTGTGTTTTTATCGAGTACTATCTGTTGCTCGCGACGTCTACACGAAGTTTTTGAAAACAGCCTATGTTACTTAGTGATAACATAGCTTTTTAACGGTGTAAGAATTTTGATATCGCTCCAGTAGTTTTTGAGATATTTCAATACATGCAAAAATACAAATCTTTCCTCTTTATAATGTTACGTATAGACTAGCTTTCGCCCGCGATTCCGTTCGTGTGGAATTAAAATAAACAACAGTAAGTAGCCTATGTGTTCGTTCAGACTATCCTCTACACTAAATTTCAGCGAAATCCGTTCAGCCGTTTAGGCTACAAACTCTAACAAACATCCATCGATCTAAACCTTCGTATTTATAATATTAGTATGATATATACATCATCAGGTCACATCTACACTGAGGATAAGTCTATCCTAAGTTAGTTGTGATTAACCCATTTTTATTACTTAAAAATAATTCTTCACAGATATGTGCAAGTTGCATCACGTTGTTTTCCTTCCACAATAGTATCAAGTGATTTACGACCGCATAATCATTTAGATGTGCAATAAAACCGTTATAATGTTGCTTCTTACTAATATTATAAATGGAAAAGTTTAGATGGATGGATGGATGGATGTTTGTTAGAGTTTGTAACCTAAACGGCTGTAGGGATCTCGATGAAATTTGGTATACTTGTAGAGGATAGTCTGGTATAACACATAGGCTACTTGCTTTTATTTTTTTTCGCGGGCGGAGTCGCGGGCGACAGCTAGTGTAAAATAATTAAAAAAGATCCCGTCTTCGGTTACCGATATATCAAATCCCAAAACCATTACGTTAGATACATAGCTCTCATTAATTAAAGGCAGATACCACGTTACCTATCCCTTACCGTGTGAATGTGTCCTTCAATTATAATCCACCATCATTATCCCGGAGCCCGAGGGAGTGCCGAAAATTGACGAAAATTAAATATTCGCAACACCCAAGTTTATCGCGTTAGGCCCGCGAGATTGCCAATAAAGTGGGACCCTCGCTCGGCCTAAGTGCGTGACCGTATAGCGGCGCAAAATATACGATGTAGCGATTTATGGACATTTAAAATATTGAAAGTGCGATTTTTAGATTTAAATACGCCTTGTTTTATTACCGGTTTTGATTTTCTATTATAGATATCACCTCATTAGTTTATAAGTCTAAGGGCCTGTCCCACCGGTGGTAGATAGAGGCCCTGATAGTGTAAATATGACGTCACGTCAGATAAAATACAAAATTTCTGTCCCACCAATTTTAAATAGCAGATAACGCTGTGACGTTTTAAATGTCAATGTCATTTTTTTTACAAGCCCCATACAAAACTTTTCGATTCTGTCCCACGGGTGGCTGATAAAGAGTTCTGGATAATGTCGAAATGACATGAATGTCACAATGACGTCAGATCTGGTGCAAAATCCAGTCCCACAAGTTTCGGATAGGTAAAATAGCAAATTTACAAGCTCCTAATTTGACTGCCAGATCGAGTGACCATTATCTTTTTATCAACTGGATGAGAAAACTTTCTTTGGTCTTATTTTGAGTTAATATCAATATTTTGACTGAAAATAGATCTTGTTGAGTTTTGAGAAGATGAATTTACGATTGTCTTGTAATATAACATGAATATACCGTCCCCACAATCACTCAGTAGTGAGAAATTGAGACGATAATCTAGCATGGCAATGGGCCATGTTTCGAGTTACAAACTCTGTACTTTTTGTGTTTTTGAGTTTACTCATGGCAGTGAAGTTTGCATCTTACGAAGTAGTCTTACATGGAACCGTATGGTTACATTATAACAGTGATCCGTTGTCAAAATGACGCAACGCAATTCATTCAACGTAATATTTTGTTGTTAAAATATTTTTTTCTCATTGTATTTGTTAATTTTTACTATTAGCTGTGTTATTATCCTTTGTTAATATAAAAGCTTGTTATGCATTCAATTACGTAAAAATAAACATTTAAGTAAAACTAAACTAAGATGTCACGTAATTTAGGGCGTGGTCTCTTTTACGAACCTGCATAAATAGGAACTTATAAGCATTCGTTGCGACGTTGCCGTTATTGTACTGTTGTAAATTATCAGTGTTATTAATAATGACAGATGTCAGTGGTGGGACAGAAAAATCATTTTATACATTCTGCTATATTACATCTTCATTGATGTCAGATAATTTACGTAAAAGTGATTAGACTATTGCAATACTATCCATTGTTTTGTTCCGCATAAATTTAGTGATAAATAACAATATACCGTTGTCATGGAAACGAAATTCCGATTCGCAATTCATTCCACTTATTGCATTTTATATATTTTATTTTTAACCAAATATTAAAATAAATAAGGGTTTTTTTTTAATACTTAGCATATATTGTATACAATCTTTTTAAAGAAATTTTTAGCAGAAAATAGGAAAGATTTATCTTAACTTGAAAAATAAAGTTTTTTGCAAAACTGCCCGAATATGATCTTTTAAGCGTCCTTGCGACGTTGCCGCTTTTACTAACTACCAGGTTCTTATTTATCGGTATCTTGAATTGTGAAACAAAAAAATCCTATATTTCCATCACGTATTTTATCTGTTTGATTATTATCAGGCAATTTACGAGAATTTGGTAGTACTGCCCCTAAGCCTGTGTGTATTTTACACTTAGAAATAAGTATGTCATATACTATGTGACAAGAAATGAGTTGTAGGTGACATTTATATTTTTACTGTGCAATTTATTTCGAATTTCGATTATTCTATTTAATTTTATTCGATAACGAGTCGACATACTTTGTAGATAAATCTAAAATCTATTAAAATAAGTACATGACTTGGACCATACACCTAACATCAACGTATAGAAATAAACTTGATTGCCGACATTTCCCGTGATGCGATTTCAATTTATAATACGTTTGTACGTACCGACAGACAAGTCGTGTGAACAAATGATGTAAAGTAAGATGTATAAGGGACTTAGGGCCTGTCTTACCAAATTGTAAATTGTCTGATAATCTAACGTGTAAAATATGTGATGATGTCGGATTTTGTTCCCTTATTTGACTGTAACGTCATTTTTAAGCTATCCGAGCCTCTATCAGCAGTAGGACAGGCCCTTAGAACCAATGTGCAAAAAAATGATCAATCTTAATACACAGATCTACTATATATGGCCAAACTAAAATCATTAACGAATGATCAAACGTAGGTGGCAAAGCGGCCATAAATAAGTTTAGGTACTCAGAATTACCTATCAAACAAACAAAACACTAAACTATGCATTCGTTACTTCAGAACACAAACTTCCAATTAAAGTTTGTAACAATCCGTTCATTAGAACTACAGTTTAGATTTGCAGCGGTCCATCGCTCGCTCAGTTCGTCCAATTAACCTCAATATCCTTACAGATGCAGCATGCACCAGAATTGCAGTATATTAGCGAGTACGAACATGTTCGGTGACCCGTGCCCGAATACGCTCAAATACCTCGAGGCGCATTACCAATGTGTACCGGGTGAGTTTACCCTTTTTAAATGTAATTTTTCCAGTCCAATTACATTTTTATATGAGAAAATTCAGAGTAACTCATGTGATGTTTTATTTTTATAATAGATGGCGGTTATAGTTTTGTAAATTGCGATGTTAATTTTTAGTTAGGGTATCAATTTTTTTTTTAATTTGTCTAAAGTCTTAAAAGCAATGTAGCTATACTTATAGTTATTATCATATAGATTTTGATTGCACTAGACAGGTTTTTTTTTTAAATCAGCGCTTGACCACAACCGCACCTATAGTTAAGTGGTAATGTGGTGGACGGAGCTAGTTTAATAAGAATCCATTCACCCTTCTCTTGAAGGCACTACGTCATAATTCTACTTTACTTCATTTTTTTTCTAAAACACTGAGAAAAATGATTGTTTAATTTATGAAATAACCTTATAAATAACTCTTCCAGCATCCACTACGAGTACGACGAACCGGCCATCCCCACCCTGGCTGATTACGTCACAGCCGACAGTCTGGAGATCTACATTACCCCCCATACCGAAGAGCCCCGTGCAAACTCAGCAGACGGAGAGGAAGAAGCCCACCGTCATCACGCCACCCACATTCAGACCTCACATCACTTTACCACCGGAAGTCAAGCTTGGAGACATCGGAACTAAAGTATGCTATATTTCTATTTAAACATCTAACTCACAGGCGTTAAATGGTTGTTAGAGTCCCCCCTTAGTAACCCAAACAAATCTTAGCGTGGCAGTGAACCTTGTAAACATAAGGACGTCAGATTTCCTACGTTAAATTCCATAAGTTATTGCGCTATGTCAAATTTTCATCGAAAATTTTTGTAATCCTGTGAAAAATTGGCCATTTAGAGTTCGGTGGTGAAATTGAATAATTATGATAGTTGGATTTTCCTACTAAAGTAAGATACATCCTTTAGTATAGATACATTTTTACACTAAGTTTAATTCATACAACTTTCTTTTTAGAAAACAACGACACGACAACCGGAGTCTTCATCGGAAAGGGAACCGCCGCAAATCCCGCACGAGAATGTTCCAGAAAAAGAGGAACCGAAAGTCATCGAGTCTGAGCCGAAGATTGAGAAACCTAAAGAACGAGATGATGGAATACGTAAGTAGACGACTAATTCAATCAATAATTAAAACTGGTTGTCTAGACTTTTCATAGTAAATCCGACACTAACTGTGGCATAAAATGAAAAGTTATTCAAGTAATTTAATAAAAAGTTGCAGACAGTTTTATCTGTTAAGATCATAGATTGACCGAATTTATAATCGATTAGTAACATTAAAAACTCCTGGAACGTAAGACATTTTGGTACTGATTTGTATGTAATTTATTTTAGCACCGGTAACAGAAGAGACGATGCAATGGCCGTCGAAAGACGAAGACTCTGATTCGACTTCTCCAGTTCATATGCCGCCTAAAGAAAACAGAACACCTGATGTTGACGGTGATATATTTGGCAACAAGATCTATTGTAAGTTGACCCACGGATTCTATAGTGGAATGATAGCTTAAGGGTTCTTTTTATATTTTTCTTCCAATCAACCAAGAAACCTTTCTACTAATCAACTGTTGAAGCGTTTAATGTTGCTTCGTTCTTTAAAAAATCTTTTTGTTTCCTATGTAATACTGTTAACTTTATCATTTTTTTATCAATATTCAATAAATAATTAATATGTGGTCTTTCTAGCTACCAGTTCTACACCCAACGCTGGCAGACGAGCAGCGTATTGTCCGCAAGTGACAGCTCGCGGTTTGCACTGGAACTGGACGTTAGCAGGCCAGTACGCAGTCCAGCCCTGTCCTGGCGGCGCCACTGGATTAGCAAGATGGACGTGAGTATATAACTAATTTGTAATGCTGAAAACATAACTCTAAAAGATTGGTTTCCCTTTGTATTATATGTTAAGTTTTATTCAATTGTCTATACCAAACTACTGTAATCATCATCATCTCCCTATCCTACTCCCGTAGGGTCGGCGCAACAGGTTTTTGTCCTCCACATAACTCTATCATACGTCATCTCAGTCATCACTCCCTTTTTGATCATGTCACCTTTTACACAATCCATCCATCTCTTTCTAGGTCTACCTCTACCGATGTACCCTTCCACACTTAACTAACGTTCTCCCTGTAACATGCGATTCATCCCTCCTCATAGCATGCCCATACCATGCTAACCTTTTATTCCTTACCTTCTCTACTACAGGGACTACTCTCAAACTTATTCTAATATACTCATTTCGTATCTTATCCATTCGTGTTACCCCACACATCCATTTTAACATTCGCATTTCTGTCACATGTAGTCTCCTTTCATCCGTTCCTTTTACTGCCCAACATTCAGATCCATACATCATGACAGTAACTACTGTAATGTAAACTATAATTTGTCTATCTTAAACTCCGTTTAATTAAGATAAACTGATCAACGTAGCAATATTCCTTTCTTTAGCATAAAATATTGACGAATCTTTTTTAATTTCTTCCACCATTTAAACAAAGCATTTGTCTCATGTTAAGAACGGCTTGCGACAGAATAGCATGTTTTGCTGCGGGTGATCCCAAATCTGTACCCTTAACTATTATTATTGTCACTTCCACCTATTAAACGTGTATATTGTGTATTTTCCAGATGTACAGTAAGCTCTGAGTCCGTGGTGGAGGAGAGGCCACGCCGGCGCGGCGCACTCCCCTCCGGAGAGAACTACCATGACCTCGGCCTGGACCAGCCCAGTGACCGACAACTGCAGATCATACGAAGACTGGGCTCTGAAGCTTTACTTAAAGGTAAGATTTTTAACTTAACGGAGCGGAATTAGTGTTAATTTTGAACGCTTAAAGTTACTGGCAACTAATAATTTTGAGTACTGGCTGAATATTGCATGATAGATGTCAAGACAACGATAGAATGACAGATGACAGTTGTCTTTGAATGGTAGAATGCGCTTTTCTTTATCTATACTATTATAATAAAGCGTAAACACACACTTCTTTGTTGCCTAAGTTGTCAGTAATTACAGCATATCTTTGAATATTTTTTCTTTTAATAAAAAGCCCTACACCTACGTCACGCTTTAGGCTATATAATTTCACGTCATTAAACTTAGGGGGTAAATATTTTGGATAAAAACCCTAATGCGGGAAAGAGACCATAAGTTAATGCCAACATTAAGGAAGTAACGTTGTCATGTCATTTTGACATTTGTAATTGATAATTTGACAAATATCAACAATAAAATAAAATTTTCATAATTTCATGCGGGTGAAGACGCACGGGAACAGCTAGTTTATTATAAAATCAATTGGTTAATCTCTGTAAATGTTTGCAATTCGATTATTGTGTTGTGAAGTTATCAATTAAGATGGTGGTCAACTAAGGATAGTGTTTCTATTGTTGCGCTATTGTTATTTCACTATCTCCTCGTACGCCTACAATGGAGGATCGTTACCGAGTACATAATCTACCTTCGGAATTGAATTCTACAAACCGCTTGTACTCCGACAAACTGATCCACACACTTCTTGCCACTCGATTGGTAGTAGAGTATATTTTCTAATATCGTTTAAATTATATAGGTAGTGATGGTGACACGGCTGAGCATATGATAGATTATCGCGGCGCAAGCGCAGCTGAAACACCACACAATGTCCAAGTTGACGGGGACTTTGTTTACGGTTGGTATTACTTGTTAAACCCTCAAAGTCAGTTGTAGTGCGATTATTTCAGAGAAAAAAAGCAGTAATAATGATGATTGTCAGGTGAGGGCATGCCGGGGTGGCATGGCGCGACACCAGACCTCAGCGAGTGCCGCTCCGTGTGGCTCAACAGCCTGGAAGCGAGGGTACGCGAGGGGGAGTCTCTGCTCAGTATCAGCAATGATTTGGCACAGGTAACTAAAAAATTAATGTAAACATTTTAAAAGCTATGTGGAATTTTCCACTTACGCATGAATTATAAGAAGCCGCACTGCCCAAACAATAGTACAAAATATAACATATCTATCTGTTCTCCATAGAAATGGAGGACACTAACATTCTTAACTTTAAATTCAATTTAAATGTTCCAGGTAACGTCATCAAAGACGCTATACGGAGGCGACATGATGACAACAACCAGCATAATGAAGAAACTGGCGCAGAGGATGTCCCAGAACATGCAAACTTTCCCCGACCCTCGACAGAGGGAGACCTTTGTTGCTGATATGCTGCTCGGAGTAATCAAAACTGGTAAGAATGTTGGAAGCTTATAAAAAGATGAAGGTCTTTATTGGCTAACGCCTTACGATACTTCTAGACTTTCGTAAAGCGTTCGTTCGTGCGCACACAAAATTATTTATAATAATCTTAACACAATTTGACTTATGTTTATGTAAATGTTTTAATAGTAAATATTCAGAGTGGAAGGAATAAATAAATTCACTAGATTAGACATATCTGAGTATTACTACAATGTTAAAGGTGGGATCCCTCAGGGGTCCATTCTCGGTCCCACATTATTCACTCATTATGGTCTAATCTAGATTTGTTATATTTAAATGTCTTTGTAGATTATAGATTTTTGTTTTGAAGGTCTCTTAACATTATCCTCTTTCTAATTTCAGGATCGAATCTTCTAGAAGAAAGTCAACGAGCATCCTGGTCGGATTTGAGCACAGACGCACAGAACCGCGTAGCGAGCGCACTGCTCACACAACTAGAAGAGAATGCTTTCCTTCTAGCAGATGCTGTCACCAAAGAGAAGACTATATTGCAGATTGTTAAGAATATATGTAAGCAGACTATTATTTATATTATTATAGCTTTGCTAAGCGAAAAGAGGATATAGTAATTTAAGTAGTAAGTTTTGAGATAAAAACATCAAACTAACATACTCAATATTATAAATGTGAAAGTTTAGATGGATAGATGGATGGATGTTTGTTAGAGTTTGTAGCCTATGCTGCTGAACGGATCTCAATGAAATTTGACATAGATGTAGAGGATAGTCTGGAAAAACACATAGGCTACTTGGTTTTGTTTTTTTATTACCACGCCGACGGAGTCGCAGGCGAAAGCTAGTTTAAATATAAAGCCAAGATTGATTTAATGACAATTTTAATTTCCAGGTCTCTCAGTCAGAGTATTGGAAGTAAAGAGTGTTGAAGACGAAACGTTTCCGTCGATCATCGCTCAGGAGCAGTGGAAGGCTTCCGAGGACATCATCACTATACCCAAGGCTGCTTTACTAGGTAAAGTAAATTATAGTAACAATTAGTGTCAAGAAAAATTCATTGAAGAAATGAACACATTGAAACAATTGTTGCTTGATAAACTAAAACATTTATTTAAAAAAAATTACTTGGTATAGCATCGCTAGAAAATTTTATAGGCTTTGCAGATTGTTTTTACCATTAGTAGGGGTCTCTGCCGACCTCTCCTTCTTTTACCGTCTCTCGGGTACCATTCAGTAATACGGTAAAAGAAGGAAAGGTCGGCAGCTTCTAAGATGGGAGGATGAGTTGCCCACGACAGAACCCAATGGAAATGTTTAGAGAAGGCCTATGCCAAGAGGCACACTGAAATTAGAGACATATTGTGAACTTAATCCATACTCAACTATAGTTAACTGAATAATTTCAGAATAAAGGGGCTATATTATTATTAGGGGTCTCTGAGATTTTCTACTTTTATTTTCCTTTTGCCAATCTTCCTCCCGTAGCGTCATCTCAGTCATCACTCCCTTTTTGATCATGTCACCTTTCTCGCAATACAGGTCTCTTTCTACGTCTACCTCTACCGGTGAATCTGCACATTTTTTACTAACGTTCTTGTTGTTACAATCCCTTCTCATAACATGCCCATACCACGCTAACCTGTTTTTGTTAAATTCTTTACTAAGTTACTTAATTCTTACAGATAACCGACAGAACGACTTAGTACGTATCGTGTTCTTCGCTTTCGACCGCTTGGAGCAGATCCTACCGCCGACTTTTGGTAAAAGTCCGCAGTTCGCGGCGCATTCTTCGGATAGTGCCTCCACCACCATCAATTCTGAACGCGAGAAGAACAACGTCTCTAGAGTTTTGAACTCTAAGGTATTATGCTTAATGTCTACTTTACCTTGTGTGTACTTTTCATTGTAATTCCGAATTCTTACTTAGCATAGAGTTCTTACATGTATTTTAGTCGTCATTTTAAAATGCATTTGAGTGTCTTAAAATCTTGTTGTCCAAAAAAATATAAGTGAAGACATTTTTTTTAAATCTAGATTTCATGTCTTTTAGGTGATATCGGCTAGTTTAGGTAACGGCCGTCATATACAACTCTCCCAGATGGTGCGGCTTACCATGAAGCATCTAAAGATAGAGAACGTCACTAACCCAGTTTGCGTTTTCTGGGATTATACTTTGCAGTAAGTTTTATTTTATAATATTGCCACTAGGTTTTTCTGAGAGATTAAGTACCATATTGTTAGGAATAAAATTAGTACCGTGCTATAGAATTGGCGCAACTCTAGATTATCGGCATAAACGTCACGTCCCTAGCTGACAGCTGTCAAATGTCACTAGAAGTATGGATAGATTGGCGCGTAACTTGAGTCTTGTCGAGAAGTATTGCTCTGAGTTAAAAGCGACAGTATCAATTAAATAAGTTGTCTAATAATATATTATCTACAATTACATTCACAAGCAAATCTGATTATCATGACTTATATCTTACTAATAATGGGTATGTTTAGATGCATAGATTGTTACTACCTATCTTCAAATTGCATTAACGGTTCTCGTTGTAATTCGTCACAGATATAGTCTGGATAGATGTATGGGTGATTTTTAGAAGGTATCTTTAAAACAGCATTAAGGATCTGGTTGAAATTAAGTGATACAGAACTATCTGGTAGAACGCATACTTCTATGTTTTTAATTCCTCGCAGGCGAGTTGCGGGCGAAAGCTAGTACAATAAAAGAAATTATTATTTATCATATACTAGCTTTCGACCGCGACTCCGTCCGCGTGGTATTAAGAAAAACGAAACCATGCTTCTGCGTTCTTCCAGACTATTCTCTACATGCCAAATTTCCTTAAGATCCGTTCAGCAGTTTAGGCTACAAACTACAAACTGCAAACAAACATCCATGTAAACTTTCACATTTATAATATTAGTATGATTAAAGGTTTCTTTACTGCTTGTAGTGGCTGGTCTCCGGAAGGTTGTCAGGTGGAGTGGTCTAACGCGACGCACACGGGCTGCGCGTGTTCGCATTTGACCAACTTCGCCATCCTCATGGACGTGCACGGAGTAGCGCTCGGCCACCAGCACGAGCTGGCGCTGCGTCTGCTCACCCTCGTCGGCTGCGGGGTGTCTTCTGTCGCGCTGGTGGCCGCCGTCCTCGTCTTCCAGTGCTGCAGGAATATGAAGGTTGGAAACTTCACTTATAACCTCATTATCCCGTTTTTCACAGCTCTCTACTTTTGTAGCTACTTAACTTTAATAAGAATCTCATCATTAACCTTCTCCCTACGGAGGGTTGGCACAGTGCTGCTTTTTCATACATTATATGCATCTTTTATACTTTTGGTTTTCCTCTATCATGATGATTTATAATAAGAACCTTTATTTCTTGGAATAAGTATTAACTTCAATCTAACTAATATTATAAAGAGGAAAGATTTGTATTTTTGTATGTATTGAAATAACTCAAAAACTACTGGGCAGATTTCAAAAATTCTTTCATCATTAGAAGCTACGTTAGCAGTGAGTTACATATGCTGTACTTTTTATTATTTTTTAATTTCACGCGGGCGAAGCCGCGAGCAACAGCTAGAATGCAATATAGAGAGTGCATTATGATAAAGCAGCAGTTAATAATATTCAAGCTTTTATGTTTCTCTTGCGTTCTAGTAAATATGTTCTTTAAATTCTGTTTGTATAATTTCAGTCCGACCGCGTGCTGATCCATAAGCACCTGTGCTGGTGCCTGCTGGTGGCGGAGGTGATATTCATGGTGGGCATCGACCAGACCCAGGACAGGATCCTCTGCGGCATCATCGCTGGTCTGCTGCATTACTTCTTCTTGGCTGCATTCGCTTGGATGTTTTTAGAAGGTACATTTGTGATGGTGCAATTATTTACTAGTAAAATTGTATCCTTACTGATCGTAATTTACTATAGTTCTTTTAAATTATAATACTACAATGCCTTTTCATTTTCTTTATTTAAACTTGATGTTGCACGCGACTGCGTCTGCGTGGAATGAACAAAAAACTTAGAGTGTCATAAGATCTTCCAGACTATGTCCTATATATATATAATATAATGAATTTCAGTGAAATTAGTTGAGCTATTCTGGAGATACGTAGCAACAAATATCCATCCATCCATCCATCTAAACTTGAATGCAAATAATTCATAATCTTGACGTTAAAGTAAGATAATAGAGGATGCAATGGATTCTTCTTTTTGCCTATTGTAATTTTTGATTCACGATATCTTGGTTGATTCTTTACTTCGTTTGACTTATTTGCTTTTGTGTACCTGGTCAGGTTTCCACCTGTACGCGATGCTGGTGGAGGTGTTCGAGCCGGAGCGGGCGCGCGCGCGCTGGTACTGCGCCGGCGCGTACCTGGCGCCCGCGCTGGTGGTGCTGGCGGCGGCGGCCGCGCGCCCCGCCGGCTACGGCACGCCGCACGCCTGCTGGCTCTCCACCGACCACCTCTTCATCATGAGCTTCGTGGGGCCAGTGGCTCTCGTCGTCACGGTAACTACAACACAACTTTAACAACAGTGGTAGAGCTCGCTTTAGCATCTTCGCACGAATGGGCTGGCTCGCCCGGTGAAATACCACGACAACACAGAAAACAGTTGTGAAGTGGAAGCAATTCCGCGTTTCGTCTGATGAGTGTGATGCCGGAGGCCTAATTTTAGTCCCTTACCCTCTCCGCCCTTTTCTTAAGAGGTGAGGATGGGAAGGAAAAGTGGATTTGATGGTGGAAGAGATGCATAGGATGGGGAAATGTTCTGTTTATGTGCGTCTCCTCCATCAATTAAGGGTAGGCAACGCATCTGCAATTGCGGATGTTTATGGGCAGCGGTCGCTTTCCATTTTGGTGGTTTCAGGTAGTCACTTGCTCGTTTGCCACCTTGTATTATAAAAAAAAAACTTGGATTGTATAAAACTTATAAGGTTTGACCACATACGCATGTCAGCATTTTGTAGAATCTTTTTTACTAAAGAATTACAGAGTACGGTTTAAACTAACACACAGTTTACTTTAGTTAACTTATGTGTGTGTTACTATATAAATAAATACATATTTCAACTGTTAACTTTACCCGTACCAGGAAAACTGTCTTGAACATACGGTCTTTCAACCGCAAACTTTAAATCGTTCAAACTGGCCCGTGTAAATCTCTTTAAGTGAATGTTGGTCCTTCGAGCATGAACTTTAACATTTAGTTGTTATTTTTTCAACGGAAGTAGTAACTATTAATCAAAATTATTAAATAACATTTCAGGCTAACTGGATCTGCCTGGGCCTGGTGATTTACATGATGTGCCATCACACCAGTGTATCAATCAAATCCAAAGAAAACTCGAAACTCTACAAAATTAAGTAAGTAATCACGTATAGATCGGCCGCGTGTAATAAAAAAAAATGTCAAAAACATAGCCTATGTTGGTCACAGATAAGTTACCTTTGTAATGGTGAAAGAATTTTTAAAATCGACCTAGTAGTTTTTACGTGAATCGAATACATACAAAAATACGAATCTTTCCTTTTTTACAATATTAGAATAGAATTATGTATAATAATAAATAAAACATACAGCTATCTCTTTCACACTATGCCACATCTTTTTTCTCTTTCGTGCAACGAAATCTTTGTGTTATTGAAATATGTGTTTTATCTGTGTTACAATAAGGGTTGTTTCTGGTTGCAGGGTGTGGCTGAACACGTCGGTGGTGCTGGCGGTGCTGCTGGGGCTGACGTGGACCTTCGGGGTGCTGTACCTCAACGAGCAGACGGTGGCGATGGCATACGCCTTCACCATCCTCAACTCGTTCCAGGGGCTCTTCATATTTGTATTCCACTGCTTGTTGAATGAAATCGTAAGTATTTTATTTCTAACAAGCTTTCGCCCGCGACTCCGTCCGCGTGGTATGGAAAAAAACATAAGTGAGTAGCCTATGTTTTCTTCCAGACTATCCTCTACATCTATGCCAAAATTCATGGAGATCAGTTAAGCCGTTTAGGCTACAAACTCTAACAAACATCCATCCATCTAAACTTTCGCATTTATAATATTAGTATGATTTCTGTGGACCTAGCCATACTAACTTAGGGTAGGCTTCGAGCCCTGCAGTGTGGGACGTGTAGTGAGCTGGTGATGAAGATAGTTTTCATTATGTAACTTTGATGACGTCACTCAAGGTCGAAAATTTTACTAAAATTTATCAGTTAATTCATAATTTTTTTTGAACTTCCTGAGATCAGAATTGATTTAGAAAATAGCAAACGTGTTAACATTTGTTGGCTTTGACCAGCCAATGATTAAGGGGAGGGGGGATGAATGATCAAAGAGAGGGGGCTATCTTTTAATTCAAAAGAGAATGCTTATAAACATGTAGTCCAATTTTTATACTGAAATCTTACGCGTAGTGTTTGAGTTATCTATTTGATTTTTAGGGACTGTAACATTAATTTTAAACCGACTACAAGTCCTCTTCCTTCATTCATCTGTATTTTTTGATCGACTTCCTAAAAAATTAGGTACTCAATTCGTCTGAATGTTTCCTTTTTGTACAATCTTCCACTCTCATCATGCGAATCTTAAGAATATACCCTCGCAGAAGGAAATCAAATCACATATCATGTTAAGATACTTCTTTATTTTAAATATAAAATGAACTGTTCTGTACAGTTCCAGAAGGAATGCGGGCGCCTGGCGCGGCGCTACCCCTGGCTGGGGTGCTGCGTGCGCGCGCCGCCGCCGCCCGCCACCGCCTCCTGCAGCCACGCCGACTCGCGCCCGCCCTCCGCCAAGCCGCGCAGGCACCTCGCTGACGACGTCGTCGACCCCAGGGACGTCACGGTAAGCTTACAAACTGACACCTGTCATATTGTAGTTACAGTAACAGTGGTGGTGAACATTTTTGTTTATGGTGCTAGGAAAACAAAACTGAATACTAAATTTACGTATTTATGATAGCACAAGCTTTTTATTCCCTTAAAATTTTAGTCCCTGTTTAGGGAAATATTGCAAGATAATTTATAAAACATAGAACTTACTTCAAATTACTTAAATTATCGAATCAAAGAAATGTTTATTGTTTTTCATTACAAGTACCTTAAGAAACTTGAACAACAATTGTAAGTTTACTTATTAAAAGGTTTACAATCCCTTAAGACGGTGGTCATTGTGCGAATGAGACGTTTAATATTTACATAGGAGCGATAGAGATGGGAGATAACAAGTAAATGTACAGACTCTCGTGTTCGCGCAGACTATAGTAGAAAATTTTTAGTTCTCCATTGTGATGAAAATCTTAACAAAGGTTTATTCAATTCTTTGGAGTTAAATATTATAATTCTTTATTTCATAGTACATTTAAATAAACGCTATATTAACATTGAACTTGTCTATGGGGCATTATTTATCCCAAATGGCATTTTAACAGTTTTTATGTCTACAAATAACTAACTCGAATTTGATAAGTAACAGGCTCCAAGCTCCAGGGGGTGGCATAGTGAGTTGATTAGATGATGATGATGATGATGATGATGATGATGATGGTGATGGTGATGGTGATGAGTTAAAAACAATTCATTACCAATTTAAGCTACCGTTGGATTTGATTTATTATAATTTTACGTATATTATGATAGATTTGAAGTATCTTGCATGATAACATGCTGGTGGAGGGTACATTTTTTCAACATGCGTCATGCTTATTAACTTGTACATCGCTTTTGCCCCATACAATATACTAGGGAATATTTTATCTATTGTAGATTAAAAAAAAACAACCATCTGGTTGTAATAGTTTGAATTCATCTTTAAATAATTTTAAAATATGGGGGTTTAATGTTATACCAAGCCTATTTAGTACTAAGCTAGGATATTTATTTCTATAAGTGATTGGACACCCAAATTACGTTTAAACAGAGTTCAACAAACACTTCGGTGGCCGCTTCAACAACCAACAACCTCGTCATCAACACTTTAAACGTTGTTGTCAACAACAACAACCACAATAACAACAACGTTATAAATAACGCGGCGGTCGCCTCTCTGGCCGCCGCGGCCGCCGCTCACAACTACCATCCTCATAGAAATCGGAGAAACTCCCAGGAGAATCAGAGTTTCGGTACTTCTTCCAACTTTGGCCCCACTTTAAACGCCACGGGGGCTAATTTCTCCCATAACATGCCTGAAAGGGAACCACCCGCCGCAATGACACATTTAAGAGGTCCCCTCAACCAGGGTAGTGGGAGATACCCGCCAGGATATCGGCAAAACGTCCAACAAGGTACGTGTCGCATTAATTGAGATAGGATGGTCATAAATTAAGAATCGTTTAAATACCACCAAAATACACCACTTCAAGCTTTTTTCAATGTAACTAATTGATCTTGAACAGCTCATTTTATTTGTCTATATTTTAAAATTGTTTTGTGTCGCCGTGTTACTAACAGTCTGTAAATTTATTTGATTTTAAAATGTTTATTTTGAAGTCTAGGTAACATGATTACTTTAGTAAAGAAGTTTTTATGTTTCGATATTGTTTTTAACGGTAAGTTGTCTTTTTTTTTTGGTCTTTTTTAACAATTTTAACGCTTTTTTTCCTTTAATACTAACAAGGGTACTTTAATTCGTGGTGTGGTGGTTTAAAATTAGTATTGCATTTTATAACTAATAACTTTGAACATTGCAAAACAAATCCTATCTATAATTAATGTGATGCGTATTCTATCGAAGTAGACAATTTTTAATTGATCTCCTGTGATCTCTCTTTTTAAAAAACTTTTCAGGTTGTCGATGGTTGGGTCTATTATGTCTATTTAAGTAGATATACGTATATACGCTTAAATATACTATATATAAAATTACAAAGCCCATATTCAGTGATTTCTTTGACCAAATCACAAACATCACCTTAAAAACTTAGGTTAAAACCGTTATTTTTACCTACAAACAGAGTTACAACATACAACCGGAATCAAGATGGAATATCAGGCCGACAGCGCCAATATACGTGCCCAATGACGACGCCAGGTCGGCCCGCGTGGCCACGCCGCAAATACCTCACAGCGCCTCGCACTCACAGAGCATTGCGTCAATGCATAGCTACAGGAATAATATAGAAGTGCCTAACGATTACCAGAATGTAAGATCGCGGTCGCCATCTTGTTTCTCCAACAAGATGGCGGCCTCGATTGGCGCCAACGAGTGGGCGTTAATGGCCAACACGATCGGGGGCAATGTATGGAAGGTGAGGGAGGGCTTGCTTGTGTGGACACTACTAGAGTGACTTAGCAGCTTTAGTGAGATCTCTTATAGAAAATTTAATGCCCAATTTTTCATTTTAACGTCGAATTAAAGATTGTGTGCGTCGATTACGAACTAACATTATAATAAATAATTTGTTTATCGTGACCAAATGTACTATTTGTGTATGAAGTTAATAAATCATAGATTTAAAGTGATTCCTTGTTAATAAACGGAATGTTTTTTTTATATTTAATGCTAGTTGATAAGAGCATTTTTAAATACATAATTATTTTTCAATCTTCACTATAGTCATTATTAAAGTCTTATAAAACGTTAAATGTGTATTTCGCTATGTATTTGTTATTTTACGAATGTAATTAATATTTTACTGTATTGAACTTTTCTTAGGTGGTGGCTATATAAGTAATACGAATAGAGATCTTACTAAAGTGTAAATAAAGTTCATAATTGCATGAAAACTAAACATAGTGTTTTGCATGATTCATTTTTAAATTGCACTTTACTGTACATACTAGCCCATCCCACATCTTTTATCTATTCACTTCATACTTTGATAATAATAAGCATGAACAATCGACCATACATTTCTATGGTCATCTAGGTTTTCCTTGAGCTTAGAAACGAGTAGGAATCTGTCAATCGAACTATCAATATGGAAAGAATTATTGCACAGATTGGCGATCAAATCGTTTTAGTAACGATTTGTCAAAGTATCAACAATCTTACTAAGTATCGCCGACTTTACAAACTGTCGCCGACTTTACAAAGCATCGCTGACTTTACACAGTATCGCCGACTTCAGTGTCACTTTGTGATTCAATTCGTTCGTTGCCTAGGCATCTTGCAATTGGGCAGCGTACACGATCAGTCGGTGAAATCTGTAATTTAAATTGTTTGCGACGTTTATCATTAGCTTTAGTATGCGTGTATTTTTGTCTCACTCTAAACAATGACATATGAACTGAGCTGTATCATTCATCTTAGATGTGCGTGTATTTTGATATTAATATCATATTTTTTAAAAGTCGTGTTCGATCACAACATTAGACGTTATAGTGTTCCATTAATAAAATCCTAACCTAACCTATTTTGTTACTTTTAAATAGTACTCGATTTGCACTTAGAAAGAAAATTTAACGTTAGATTTAGCCTTTTAACTTGAAGTTTAAATATTAACCAGTTGTGATCGAACTTATCAGGATTTCTATACAAACAACTAATGTAAATATTTGGTATTCCAGAACACTTCTTCTAAGCACCACGCGGGGAACACATCGACTTTACCGCATCACGACACACTAACACGCCAACTGCAGCAAAACCACATTCACAGCCCTTACGAATGCGAGGCGCCCCTCGCCCCGCTCGCCCCCGCCTCCCCCCGGCATGTCAAAGACGAAGATAGTCCCTTGCACCACCCTCAAGGGTACAACACCACCAGAAGCTACAACCAGGATTTCAGAAATCCACATGTTTACATGTCTCAACACTCGCCCGGCAGCCAGGAAATGATTTTCCGCAAGCACTACAAGGACGATCGACGTAAACACCACCACGGCAGTCAAGGTGTTAACCACACCTACTCAGAGATAGCTTCGCAACAAGGCAGAATGTATCGACGTGGATCCGAACAGGAGTTCAGAGTGATACAGGACGATCCTGTCTACGAGGAGATCGAGAGAAACGAGACTTTGATGTCCGATATGTCGGACGATAACTCTGGCCCCGACAACTGCCGACAAAACCCGGGACACCATGGCTCGTCCTCGTCTAAATTCTTCGGAGACCATCGGCCTTTGATATCGTACAGTCCTGGAGATAGACATCATCATGAACAGGAGCATTATGGAAAGTACGGGAAATGGGATACCTTGGATAGGGGGTATGATAGACATGCGTACGAGAGCGGGAGACTGGTCCATCCTTACCACCAGCCCCAGGAGAACAATATGAGAGCGCTGGCGGCTGTGCTTAATGGAGAGAATAACGTGGTCTGTCACCTCGAGCCTCACAACTCCTACGACGTGTACCAGCCACAATCCGGCAACCCGAGGACCGTCTCCCAGCCTAGTTTCTGAATCTCATGAATGACGTAATCCGTTATTTCGCTTTCAAAGACTTTGTACAGATATCTCCGATTTTCTATGGACGTAGAATCGTCTTAGTGGACAGGTTTTTAAGTGATAGCATTTTATGTAGAAACTTGCCATAACGTGGACTTTAAAATATTTATATTTATAGACGGTTAGATGTAAAACTTAAAATTAAATCACTTTCTCCACTGTGATCCTATTTAAAGTAACGGCTCAAGTTTCAGTGTTGCGACGTTATTCTGCGATGTAATAGCAATTTGTATATACTTTTAGCGTTTAGTGTCCTAGTGAATGTACTTCCGGTGTGACCTTACTATTTCTACTGAGAAACCTTTCGGTTCTGTTTGGACGGAGAATTAAACAAGTAGGACCTTTAGGAACAAACAGCGCGTTTTAATTAATGAGTGAAAAAATATTTTTAACTTTATTAGGTAACTAAAAGATCTAAAATTAATTACATTTACAAATTTTAGAAAAATATAAAATAAAAATGCAAAAAGTATGGATTTCAAAATTTATTTTACTTAAAATCATTTAATTACCATAAATAAAGGTGTATTGTTTAACTCTCCGTTACTTACGACATTTCCACAGTGTATTGCATTTCTCGTTATTGTAGTTTTTAATGATCTGTGATGTATCATTTATTGCTTTAGATTAGACCTCTGTTCGTGCTCTTGTACACTGCCATACAATACGCTGGGCACCCCGCAAAACCTCGGCTGTCCCTCGGCTTAGGCCCTCTCAGCTAAAGGTCCTTCAACAAAGGTTTACCTCAGCTAAAGGTCCTACAACAAAGGTTTACCTCAGCTAAAGGTCCTTCAACAAAGGGTTACCTCAGCTAAAGGTCCTTCAACAAAGGTTTACCTCAGCTGAAGGTCCTTCAACAAAGGGTTACCTCGGCTAAAGGTCCTTCAACAAAGGGTTACTTCAGCTAAAGGTCCTTCAACAAAGGTTTACCTCAGCTAAAGGTCCTTCAACAAAGGTTTACCTCAGCTAAAGGTCCTTCAACAAAGGTTTACCTCAACTAAAGGTCCTTCAACAAAGGTTTACCTCAGCTAAAGGTCCTTGAACAAAGGTTTACTTCGGCTAAAGGTCCTTCAACAAAGGTTTACCTCAGCTAAGGGCCCTTCAACAAAGGTTTACTTCGGCTAAAGGTCCTTCAACAAAGGTTTACCTCAGCTAAGGGTCCTTCAACAAAGGTTTACCTCAGCTAAAGGTCCTTCAACAAAGGTTTACCTCAGCTAAAGGTCCTTCAACAAAGGTTTACCTCAGCTAAGGGTCCTTCAACAAAGGGTTACCTCAGCTAAAGGTCCTTCAACAAAGGGTTACCTCGGCTAAAGGTCCTTCAACAAAGGTTTACCTCAGCTAAAGGTCCTTTAACAAAGGGTTACCTCAGCTAAAGGTCCTTCAACAAAGGGTTACCTCAGCTAAAGGCTTTTCTTTTTACCTTGGAAACGTTTTAAAGAAATCCATCCAACCTATTATAGACTGACACTCCTTGATGTTGTGCACTTTCCTGTACTTTAGAACTTAGCGTTTAAAAAGTTTTACTTAAAAAAATGATATGATAAAAAAATTCGATATTATTTCTACATAAGTAGATTTAATTTTAATGAAATAACAGATTAAATGTTGATTTTATACTTAACTTTTGGTAGTTGATGTATACAATTATTAAAAAAAAAACTTTTTCATTTTGTATACATTTGAATGAGCATTTTGTATTCTTAAAATTTCCATGTGTTTATAAACAGTTAGATTTTTTGTAGACATAGCATTAATAATGAAGTTTTTTGTAAATTTGACATTGTAAAGCGATTTTTTGTTTGTGATATATATTTAATTTCCAGTGAAAGCCTTCAATAAATATAAGGAATTGTTTCTTAGAATTGATAAAAGTACAATAAAATGATTTGATTCTTTTGTCGTAATTTTTGGGATCGTCGAAGCAATATGATTAGACTGGAATGTTTAAAAAATTTAAAATTAACGACCGTTTTTTTATTATTAAATTTCTGTGACCAGGTATACCTTTAATATTAAGGTAGAAAAAATTAAAAAAAAATCGTGGGACGGTTATTTTTTGTAATTGGTATAAACTAGTCTGACAATTTTTTCCCACTTTTAAATATGTATTTTGTATATTGTCACCTGTATTTATGTTACATAATGTTTTTCTTTTTAAGTTTTGATTGTATTTTTAAAAGAGCGTTGACGAGTATATTAATGTAAAGTAGGACAAGCAAAATGTGTAAATAATTTAAAGTTTATATAAATAAAGAGTGGCTGTTCTCAGAGGACCGCCGCAAATTGAATTTGTTTTTTTTATACCTATATTGAATTACAGGGTGTTCTGGGAACGACGTGCACAATTGACTACCATAGAATCCTTGGTCTAAAATATGGCGATTTGAACTTACCTTTACACAAAGTTGCTTTATTTGGACGCTAGAGGGCTCTAAAGTTGGCTAAACAAATTTTATTCATATTGAAACCATAGTTTCTGTTTGTTAAACTACATCCTTTTATGGAACAAACCTTTTTCATCAAATCAGAGGGGCTCGAAAACTCGAATCAAAACAATTACTGTTTAGTTTTTTTCTCAGGTAGACAATTTTATTTGAAATATTTTTGGTCTCTGTTTAATTTTTAATTTTGCGAACGGTTTTGGTTCAAAACGGTATTTTTTTTAAATTTAAATTCTGCGGAACTATCAGTTAACGTTTTGTTTTTAAAATTTGCTACAGGTGTTTGCAAAATATGATATATTCGAAGTTGCCCAGCCCTCATGATTTGATGGCAAAAGTAACATAAAAATATGAAGACACAAATACAAAAAAACTATGGTTTATTAAAACCATAGATGAATGAATATTTGAATAAAATATTTGAATGTGAAATAATTTGCAAACTTTAGAGCACTCTAACGCCCCCACGAAGCAACTTCCGATCTATTCGTTACCTCTAGGTAAGTTGGATCAAATCATCATATTTTCAACCAAGGAATGTAGGTCACACGAATAAAACAAATAAGAATTATGATTTGAAAATTTATTTCATACATTTTAATGACACGTGAATGTTAGTTTAAAAAATTTTGACAATCTTCGAGAATTATAGTAAGAGAAATTCACTTAACGCTAAAAATTTTGTATAATTCTTTATAAAAATCGATATCCAAAAGCAAAGGGAGATCTTTGTAAAGGCACACGAAAAAAAAAACAGTTGCCCAAAAATGAGATCTAATTTTTGAAAATTCTATCGACGAAAATTTTTCTAAACCTTAAATTACGAAACATTAAAAAAAACATTTAAATCACTTCCAAATAATACGTTATTTATTCCTAAAATAAAATAATGGGTAGGTACAGAGTCGATTATTCTTTGATTAATTAAAAGACTTTAAGCACTACCCGCTAAAAAGAACTAAAAAGAAATGTCCTTTAAAGATTTTTTCTTCTAAAAAACATAGAATAATTTTGAACGAGATCCAAAAAATGTCTAAGAAAAATCTCACAACTACATTGTTTATAGAAATTCATAATAACTACTTATATCAATTGAAAACATCGAGTCCTGTATTTTAAAACTGCAAGGTACTGCTAAAAATTTAATATAGACAAATGCAATCTCTTAGGCACAAATATATAACTTCGAACTGAAAATTTTTTTTTTATACAAAATCTATTTTCCCGCCATTTTTGACAGATGTACGAACATTCCTATTTCAAACTTACTAAATACATAAATGTTAAAGACCGTATCGTTAAAAAATCATATTCAAATCTACATGTAAAACAATATCAACGAGCCAAAGGTAAAGATTGGATCTCAAATTCCATTTATTGTTCTTTTTGTCAAACGTATTAACAAAGACAATACGCCTATTAATATTAATGAAGTCTGGCACAAGAATGTTCCAACTACATTTAAATAATAATTATTATGGATTGCTAAAGATATGAAATAGAGTAAAATTTGTTACATGTCAACTCTATGCTGTGAAAAAACTTATATATAGTCAAACAAGGATGTCAAGCCTAGTAAGAGGCGCTTTTTAATCTACATGGGTACATGGAAAAAGACACCAAAAGTAGGCGTTTATGCATAATTTAATTTCACTTATGCCGGCCGGGTCAAAAATCACGGCACAAAACTTGCTAAAAATACATTATCATTTAAATAAAAGACCAATAATTAAAATAAAAGAGATAATTTGTGCCTACGAAAGTTTCACTTATTTATATTATAGGTTACCTAGACTCTTAGAATTTAAGACTTATTTCTGAAAGTATAAATGCCATTTTGAGATACGATTCGTTGTATTTATATCATTTTAAAAGCGAGATACATTTGTTATTGTTGCATAAAAAGATTGACAGTGCATCGAGTCAAGTTTGATTTCATTTTTATCACTAGCACAATGAAGTCAGAGGTCAATTACCTATTAAAGGAGAATTTATTGATTTTAAATACCTATACGTACTTTACAGCGAATAATTGACGAGTTATTTAGCTTAGTATAAATATAAATGGTTATTTTACGGTTAAATATAGCAACACTGTACTTATTTACTTGGAACATTTTAAATTTTTCGATTATTTAGGAAGTGGGCACCCCTATGTCATGAACACAGATAAAAAAGTACATAAATATGAAAAAAAATTGACTTCTGACTTCTAACGATGCGTAAAAAGAAACGGAAAAATTGGTAAGGTATTCAAATGATAAATAAGTACCTTACATAGTGAAGGGATAAATTATTTTGTCATAACCTTAAAATGCCGCTTATTCTGTAAATTTCAAACAGTCGTATTACTTACCGATTGTCTTAAAGCTACAGAATGAGGGTTTTATTAATATCTAGATATATAAAACGTATAAAATATACACTCACGGCACACATCACTAGGGTTCGCAGTCTTCAACTAAACAGCAATACACAACACTACGCTCCAAATGGCTAAAACTGTTGATACTTGTAAACAATTCGTTTTATAGACACAAATACAAAACTTGTAATTATTACAATTTAGTAAATTGTCTTATTTATACAAACATAAAATAAAACAGAGTAAATATCAACAATACGGTGTACTATAAAAAAATGTCGACACTTCAATTTTGAAGTTGAGGTTATGTTCGTTTTGGCGCTAAAAGTCGACCATTTTGTTTTTGACAAACAGAACAGACTATGCAAGAATGCGACAATTAACATAGAATAAACAGGCAGATAACAAAATGTATTTTTTTAATCTTAGCCATTTGGAGCTATTTCTGTATAGGTGCTATGAACATCCACAGCTTTCGACGACCATACCAGGTATCGTACCATAGATTATATTAAGATCGTCATCAAAATATAACATAGAAATGCTGCTCATCTTGCGAGGAGCACAGCAGGGCCCACCGCTGCCTTGGGGCGTTACTAAATGGACTAAATGTGTATGGGGATACTTCTGGAGGAAGCTGTAAGGGCATTCGCCGCTGCAGTAGTTAGCATCATACTGTTTAGGAGCTATTATCCAGTCCCAACCGAACTCCTCGAAGTTAACAGACAGCGGGTACCGACAGCAGCGAACTTCTTTAGAATTCTCAGTGCAGTCCATGCCTATCGTTCTTCTCGTCCGTTTGTGTGAATTGTCTCTAAGACTTACTTCTATGTATGGCATCTGTAACAAATATTTTTATTAATAACCAACTGTTGCCGGAGACTTCGCACGCGTGAAATTAAAAATCAATATAAAATATAGCTTATGTTACTTACAGATATACATATTACCTATTTAACGGTGAAAAAAATTTAAAATCACCCCAGTAGTTTTTGAGTTATTCCAATACATACAAAAATACAAAACTTCCCTCTTAATAGGTATAGAAGTATAGATAGAAAATGATTAGTTTCACAAAAGTTTTACAAATTTAGAACTGGACTAAGCAACAATTGGACTATACTTTTTTATTGGAAATCATCTTCTCTGATAAGCACAATAACAAAACCATAATCGATAACTACATATATAGGTTATTTAATAATAATTAATACTAGTTAGGTTTTCCCATGATAAAGAAATTAAAATGAACACTTAGTTATGTCGTCTTTAAATTATTTATTTATCTTAAGAATATCATACGCATCTTAACAAGAATTAGGTCAACAAGATAATCGTTGTAGTAAAAATTTTAACGATTTATGATAACTTGGACACAATCGACCACTGTATGTATTAATTTGTTACTATGCAAATATCAAGCGAGAATAATCGGCATTATCATTTATTTCAAAACCGCACACCCTTTGTTCTGGTAGATTTAACTGAAATTTTAACTGTAAAAAATGTTAGGCATTTACTGTTGCTCACGACCTCACCGGCGTAAAGTAAAAAAAGAAGGAATTTTTGAATTTGCCCCAGTAGTTTTTGAGTTATTTCAATACATACAAAAATATAAATCTTTCCTCTTTATCATATTAGTATAGATAATATTTCTGTCGACATAAATTGGACAAACATCAATAAGCAATATAAATTTGTTGAATAACATTACGTGAAAATAATTTGTTTAAAGTGTAGTACTAAGTTTTACCTTTTGTCAATATTCATTCTGTGAATATTACTAGGTATTATCCGCGAACCCGGATACACATTTAAAACAATAACTTGATAAGATATCTTGTATTATTTTAATTTTATTTATAGCAACATATGTGATTGTTATTTCGCGGAAAGAAGAACTGAAATATTATGTTATGCAAGAAATGAGCAAACGATAAACTTTTTAAAATAGCAATCTGGTCTAAATTCATTAATATGGCTTAAAAAATAATGTAAACAAACGCTCTTAAATTGTATTTTAAATTTTACTAATAATACATTTTTTGTATGTATTTATATAACTCAAAAACTACTGGGTCATTTTCAAAATTTTTTTCACTAATTAAAATCTATTTTTCTGATATTCATTGAGGTAAAGACCTTATAAAGAATTAACCAATTAAACGTAATTTGTTAACAAAAATACTTTCACGTAATAATATCAAGAAAATTGTTTGTATCAAATGACAAAGTCGCGGCGGATCGACACCAAAATAAACTAATAACGATTAGATAACTTACCAAAGCATTATTTGATTCAGAGCTCGGATGTGGTACAACTAAGCTCATCCTATTCTTCGAGTCTTGTACTCTCACAACTATCGCTAGGTTCTCCCTCGGCAGCCTGAAGAATTCCGCCACCATCGTGGTCACGTTCAGCTTCACCCATCTCCCGACCTTCAGTTCTTTTCTGGACATCTTTATCGAGCTCTCCGTGTAAGGCACGGAGGCCTTGCTACCCTGACTATTCCTCGTCACCCTATTCACTTGTAATCCTATTGAGAAAAATTCCTCCGGCCCCAAGGTCACGTTCAGCCTCTGCTCCAACTCCTGAACGTGGATGTTGAGGAACGCCTCGTCCACCTCATTCTGGAGCACCTTACTGGTGAACCGGAAGTTGATCACCTTAAGACCTTTGAAGTGACTGTGCCGTCGCGTATCTGAATGCAAAAAAAAACAATGCACAACTCTATTAACAATAATCTTCAATGATTAAAAAAATGAATAAAGAGCAAGACAATAGCGTTAATGTAAAGCCAGATTCGATTTTAAACGCTACTTTATCTTGTAAATTCATAACGTTTTAAAATATTTAAATTAAGAACAACAATATACAGCCAGGTACAATTTTAGATGTAAAATAAATCACAAACACGCGTTTAAATGAAAACAAAACAAAATGTTGCGCATACCGAGTTCAAAAATAACGCTTGTTACTAGTTACTATCGGGAAGTGCGTAGACGTGTGACCTTGACCTAAATATACTAAACGACATTTATTCACGAACTGATAGCGATTTAGCGAACGATTCGGCGAAAAAAAAACAAATGCCTAACACCGCACGCAAATTACGTAGCATCATAACCTCAAAATCACCGAAAAAACTTATTGTTGTTTAATTTACGATATAAAAAACGGTCAATTTGCAACAATATTATTGTCGTTGTCACACTATCGTTACATATAAATAAGTACTATTTGCATGTTTATACAATAAAGTATTTCAAATTTCACTATTTTAATACCACCATGATATAACCATATCCATCACCTTTCTCCTTTTAGAAATAAAGTAACTTTAAGCCGCCACTTAGAGCACTATATTCTCCATGCATACCCTTTCATACATACCATGAATGTTACTAAAATAGGTAAATTTAAAATACCTAAGCCTATTATAGGAACTAATGCGTTAATAAAGTATGTTTCTTTTGCGTGCAACGAAACGACTTTTCGACACATAAAACTATCACTTAGGGAAGTGTGCAAGAGTAAATTGTTGTTTTATAGTTCAACAAAATCCTGCCAAATTGTTGAATATAAACGTTCATTGCAGTGGCCGAAAAAAAGTTGACATGTGCCAAAAATACTAATTGTACACGTGCAGTGTGTCTAAAATAACAACACAATGTGTTGAAAGTTTTTTCCGAATCACGCATTCATAGAATTATTTAATGACAACTAATGATTTTTATTACAGATTATAAATAAATAAACAATGTTTTCCCGCCAATTTTTGATAAGAAATGCAATATCTAAACGTTAATTTTACTCATTGTATTTTTTAAATGACATATTCATCATGACATGACATATTGATCATGAACGCAGTTTTAAAATGTGTCACAGATTATAAATAATTAAACAATATTTCCCGCCACTTTTTAATAAGAAATGCATTTTTTTTAAATATCTAAAATGTTATTTACTCCTTTTAAAATACTCTTTATTAATTTGGATTAATAACGAACGTAGTTTTAACACGTGTGAAGAATAATTAAAAAAACTATGTGTGACATTTAAGTGATCAATTATCGCAGATCCCCCGCTGACATCTGAAAAGAAGAAAAAAACTGAATTAGTGCAAAAGTCCATTGTAATAGTTAATTAGTGTTTTTGTTGATGTATAAAAAACCCTTGTTTTGTGACAGAAGTCCGAAATTAGACCAGTGGATGAAATTTTAAAACCATGAGTCGTTTGGACCAATTTAAGGGTGTAGTTACACTATTCGATGATTCCATCGTTGTATATGCGAGGTGTCCAGGCATAGAGGTTTACGACTTGACAATCTTGAATAGCAAGCGTGGAGGGTTACTCTGGTAAAGGTAGACTTAGAAAGAGATGGTTGGATTGCGTGAAAGGTGACATGATCAAGAAGGGAATGGTGACTGAGATGACGGACGATAGTTATGCGGAGGATAATATACCGGCACGCGCTACGTGAGTAGGGTAAATTAAGGCGATGATGTTAAGCAAGCTTCGTGCGTGGTCTTAGTTGATGGATTATTCCCAACCGTCACCCCGCTCTGTCCCCACGTGGGAACAGATGAGAAAAAAAATCATCCGCCCCAACTTTTGCGACGAGGGGACGGTTGGAACTTATTTTATTTCATAACGGTTCCATCTGTCACCTTAGTGGTGATAGTGGGACTAAAGGTGTGACAGATGAAACTTTTTATTCTCATGTGGGGATAGAGCGGGGTGACGGTTGGGAATAATTCCAGTTGACAAGCCTGGCAAGAAAAATAACTATCGCCTAACGAATGCGGGCGCTAACGACTATTAAAACTGCGACAACGGATCGATTTCATTGTAACTATTGATCTTGTTATTGTTATAATTGTTTAGTAACTTTCATGAAATATCGTTTGTATATAATTTTAACAATGTCATAGATAATCTTGAGAATTACAGATATAACAAAAATTTCTTTTACCGGCCTCAGGTGTTCGTTTAAAAATAACAAGTTGGTTCATCCAACTCCGAAGGTCAACACCCACCTGTAGCCTGTATGAAGTAATTTCCTACGTTGAACTATTTAAAAAATCTTACCGATCGTAATTTATGGACAATAATTCGTGTGTGTACGTATCTTTCGTCGGCTGTTTACAATTGAACAGAGCTATAACCCAGAAGAAATATCTGGTTATTGTCCAATTAAGTTGTTTTACATTCAAAGTTTTTTATTTTCGTAACTGAATAAGCGATGCATTCGTTCTGAATTCCCTGCATTTATTTTCGGTTGTGGATAATTGAAGAAATCGGATACTTCCGTATTAAATAATCTTAAATTACGGCGAAGGTTGTAATGTATGTATGTAAATATCTGCAAAATAAGATTTATGTAACCAATACCAACAATTGTATTGACCCTCAACCAGATTTGAACCTTTCGGTAGGGACTTACATAAGCTGACAATAATACAATTACGTATTTAATATGTGGTTATATACGTAACACGGACATATAATATATAACAGTTTACATGCAATTATTAAAAGCTTTTAACAAAAAAAGTCTGTTGTTGCCCTTTGTTAACCGTAATATTGTCACAAATCGCTATGCACAATGTGGCGGCTTAAAGACTGCGTTAAGGTATATTTATTAAGAACTAGCTGGTCCCGTGCGACTTCAACCGCATGAAATTATGAAAATTTTATTTCATTCTTTACATTTGTCAACTTATCAATAGCAAATGTCAAAATGACATGACATGATGACAAACCATAGCAGTCCTACTTCCTTGATGTTGGGAACTTGTAGCTTATTTCACCTTTTCCACATTAGGGTTTTTATCCAATTTATTTACGACCTAAATTTAATGTTAAAATTTATAGCCTAAAGCGTGACGTTAGTGTAGGGCTTTTTATTAAAGAACGAATTATTGACATACTGTGATGGCTGACATCTTACACCACAACGTAGGGTGTGTTTACGCTTTATTACAATAGTATGGATATAATTATAAGGAAGGAATAAGTAAAAGAAGCGAAGCAAAATAGATTATCAACGAGCAAGAGAGCGTAAAATTATTTTATCTCACTAATGATTTAAATGCGAATGTTTAGAAAGATGGATATTTGTTAGAGTTTCTAGCCTAAACTGGTAAACGGAATTTAGACGAAATTTGGCATAATGTAGAGAATAGTCTAGAAGAACACGTAGGCTACTTATTTTTCTTTTTATTAATTCCACGCGGAAAGAGTCGCGGGCGAAAGTTGGTCTTATAATAAGAAAAAGAAAGAACTTTTATAAAGACAATTGACCATACAAATAACATAATAATTGAGAGATTCATTTCGTCGTGAATCAGTAAACACAATGATTCATTACTCACTGTGGTAAACAAGAATTGTAAGCTCTGAATCATTCTAGATAATTCTTTTATTACGTATTACTTTTAGAAAGTTTTTATAAGGATATATTAGAACAATAATTTGAAATCTAAAAGATTATCTAGTTAACACTAACCCATTTTTCAATAATAAGAACTGGAAAGGTAGCAGTAAGCTTAGATTGTAGGCTTAGCTTATTGCTACGTCACGCTACGCGGCGTAGCCTTCAATCCGTGCAGGTAATACACGATATCTAAGTAACAAAATAAACTACCGTACAGGTGTGTCTCAACATTGTTAATTCTACGTTTACAATTGAAAAAAATACCAAATGGACATGACCTACGCACACAACAACGATATGCGAAGGTAGGTTAATTCGGCGGAGTTATCATTATATGACATCATTGTGTCCGCAACAAATGTTAAACCTGCAACACACAACTATAACAGCAAGAAGCGAAACTGTAGCACATCGATTTACGCTAATCAAAACAGTTTCCTGAGTGAATTTGACAATAAAAATTATTATCGCTTGAGTATAGTTCCGAATCGCTTTCACCACACTGTGTTACATGCTTTCGTATTTTTGTTTACGTAATTGATAAAGCAAGTACAGCCACAATGTGTGTTTGTTTCGCGTCTCGATCTCTCTAGTCTATGGCCGATTTACTTCTTTGTTTATATCTTAATTGGCCAGTTATGTCTGGCTGCGACATAATAGTGGCCTTTCTTTCTCAATAATGAATCATTGGAATATATTATTACACACAATTATTACAAATTGTATGTACATTTAATAATTTATTTAATTAAATAGTAGATAGCAAACCAGCAAATGGTCACCGGATTTCGCTAAGACATCTGCCAAAGATTAAAATAATTCCAGATGTCTACCTTATCTATGAATCGATGGGAATACTATACTACGATATTTCTCTTTCCCATAGGTCTCATCCCCCGTTGACATAAGACAATCTTGGAAGAGGACTAGAATAACATTCGACACTACATGCCTGATACAATTCGTTTGTTTTATTCGAGATCAACATTTTTGTAACAGCGGACGCGTTGTGACGTCCAAAACGACCCAATCTTCAGCTCCCCTGGGTCGTTATCCGTCACTCAATGTACACGACGGCCTTGCGTTTCTTTCCTCGTACATCTCTTAATAAAATTCTTTCCGAATGTAAAATGTGCTCAATTTATTTTCAGTGTTGAATAAAAAATTGTGTTCTTGTACATAACCTGAATATTTCGCATTCTAAAAGTAAATAATGGATCAGTCGGTAAATTACATCAAAAATGTTTTTAACCAACTCAACAATTCAAGATTATGTTTTGCTATTGCTTAGTTAATTTTTTTTAATTGATTGGAGTCAAATTTAACCTACGATCACAATCATAATAATATTACAAATGCGAAAGTTTAGATGGATGTTTGTTAGAGTTTGTAGCCTAAACGGCTTCACGGTTTTCTATGAAATTTGGTACAGATGTAGAGGATAGTGTGGAAGAATACATAGGCTACTTACTTTTTTAATTCCACGCGGACGGAGTTGTAGGCGACAACTAGTATAAAATAATCTATTGTTTAGGCGCGCATTGACATGGACATTATATGTCACCTAAAAGGCTTTAAATGTCAATATTAAACGGCATATTTCCCTATTTACTATCTTATATTAGTTACTATTTATTTATTATATAAATCTGGTACCCTTTAAATCTCCCTTTAAATGCAAAAGTTATGGATAGATTTTTTACATGCTGTATACAGAAAGTCAACGGTAATTTAACACAGATTTAAAAAGTATCATATATGTAATCTATTTAATAAGATTTCCACGAAAACCAACCAACCAAAATCATCAACTACCCCCTTTTAGCGACGACCATTGGTAACATTTACTT